TAGCCAAGTCACATTAAATATTAGTGTTAAGTCAACTAACCCATTTTAAATCTAACACAAATGCCCATGGCATTCTGGCTTTGCAGTCCTAGTTTTGAGTAACCTTCACATACCAGCTCCACCACATTCAGAGAGCAGGGACATGGCTGCCATTGCCTAAAGTTTACAGACCTATCAGTGACATCCATTCATTACAGGAACTAAGGAGATGGCTCAGTGCCAAGTTCTTGCTGAGCAAATGTAAGGATCTGAGTTTGGATCCCAGCATCCACTTAAAAAACCATGTGTGGCAGTGTATGCCCGTAATCCTCAGGCTGGGGCATGGAGACAGGGGCCCTAGGAGCTCCCTGCTCAGCCAGTTCAGTCAGCGAGCCCGAGATACTGTCTCATGAAATCGAGTGGAGTGTGAGGATGCTTGACTTTGGGCTTTGTGTATGTACCTGCATATTATCTGTGTATATGTATAATGTACTCGCAGGGAGATTTGCTTAACTGTGCAATAAGTACTTTGTGTGCATTATCTTAATTACTTATAGAAATCTTATGGAGTGAGTTCCTCATCCAGAATCATGAAGCTATTAAGCAGTGCAGCCATAATTCAAATATCTGACGGTGCAGCTTGCACTATACCATTGCGACTGAAGTCGCTACCAGTAGCATGGATATTATTTGACTGCTCTGCCTTGGAAGGGGCTTTCTGCTTCACAGAATTAGAGAACACGGGCCTGAGGGGAAGGGCTACTCCAGCTCAATGAGGGCTGGTGGCCAGGCCGAACCAGGTAGGTCCAGAGTCTCCACAGGCCTGAGTAGGACGTGCAGTAAGCATCGTGGCCTGGCCTGCCATATCTGTCCCCTGCCAGTTGTCTCTGGAAGTGACATTGATTCTTTCTCCCACATGCTCCCAACCATCTTTCATTATAAATCAGCTTGAAGGGAATGTGAGAAGGGAGCCCAGGAGGAGACAATCAAGCCAGGGCAAAGGGCAGGCCTTACTTTGCTTATATTCCTGGAGGTTCCATGAGTCTTCCATAAAAGCAGTAGGCCTTTGAAAACACACAGGCTTTAAGGCTCGGGAGGTTGCTTAGCTAGTAGAGCGCTTTTTGCACAGGCATGAGAACCTGAGCCCAGATCCCCAACACACATGTAAAAGCAGGGTGCAGCAGCACACGTCTGTAATCCTAGCAGTGGCCAGTTGGGGACAGAATCAAGAGGATCCCTGGAGCTCATTGGTAAGTCAGCCTGGCCACACTAACAAGGTCTGCATTCAGTGAGATAGCTTATTTCAAAAATAATGTGCGAAGTAAGGCAATCAGACACCCAGTGTCAACCTCTTCGTGTGCACATGCACGGCCTTGTATGCATGCCTGTACACACTAACACTGCAAACACACACCACACCCATTCCCACCACTGAATGGCCATGCTTTCTAGAACCCATGCATGTTCCCAGGGCTGTGAGTTGACCTCATTGTGCTTTAGGACCTAATTGTTATATTTACTTTTAAAAAATAGTAAGTTTGATAGACAGGAGAATTATTGCTATATAAACTATTGAAAACTTTGGTACTATTCAAAAAATGATTTGCTAAAAATACTTTGCCACTGAATTTGAAGTAGGCGAGAGGGCTGTGCAAGAATGGGAGAACAAACTCTAGGGGTCTGCATTCAGATCTTCAGAAATAACCTCTCATTCTCACACTGCTTTAAAGCAATAAAACCAAACGTTAGATCAAAGCATTGAAGATCTGATGATTGACAGGCACACTGTAGATCCATGCTTAGAGGTGCAGACTCAATTCTCCATCATCAGAACGTCTTTGAGTTTTTCAGCAAGTGGCAAGAGGCTTAAACACCAGGGAAGCATATCCTAGGATCAGGTGGCAGAGTGCTTACCTGGCCTGCACAAAGCCCCAGGTTGGATGCACAGCACCGTGTAAACCAGGTGGTGTGTGCCTGTGGCCACAGCAAGCCTGTAAGGTCAGCACACAGGAGAGAGGCAACAGGATCAGAGGTTCAAGGGAATCTTCAGCTGTATAGAAAGACAGGGAGAATAAGAGAGGGGTAATCAACAGATATCTATCATCACCTCATATTGAGTATCTAGCTCATTATTAGAGAAAATTAGATTGGCAAACACCTCTGCAATATTGAAATACGGCCATCTTGTTAGATTATCAGTGTCATTTGTAAAGCAGTGACGCTAGATCAGAGCGTCTGTGGCCTTACCACGTAGTACCTCGGGACCGCTGACATGCTTGAGGAGCCTGCTGAAGAACAAAATACAACCTATCTCGTGTAAAAATTAATAGGAATGTCTAGACAGCAAAGCCTGCGTCTGCACACGTGGCCCTGGCAGGTGTGTAGGTGACACATTCTCCATGGCCATTCTTCCGCCTTTGACACACTGGCTAGTCAGTGGGACGTTTTTACCTGCATGTGTGTCTGTGTGAGGGTGTCAGAAACCTTGGAGCTAGAGTTACAGACAGGTGTGAGCTGCCATGTCGCTGCATGGAACTGGACCTGAGTCCACTGGAAGATTAGCCAGTGCTCTTAGCTGCAGAGCTATTTCTCCAGTCCTCAGATTTTTTTCTTTTCTTTCTTTCTTTTTCTTTTTTTTTTTTTTTTGAAATTTAATCTGTACCAGTTGACTCTACCATGAATGTTACCCTGGAGAACTTGATCAAAGGTTGTTTTTGTCATATCATTCGTTTACATTTTTTATTTTATTTACTATGTATGTGTATGTGTGTGGTGGTGCACAGTGCAATAGTGGAAGTCAGAGGACAGTTTTCAGGACAGTTTGATGTCCTCCCTGCTTTGTGGTATTTGAGGTCTGAGCTCAGGTCATCAGTCTTGTTGAAAGAGTGCTTTTACCCTGCGCCTTTGTGCTGGCCCATAACTCAAACCTTTCATTAAAACAAACAAAAAACCAAAACATTGTCAAATAACATTGATAACTCATTCTAGGTACATTTTTTTTTTTACTTGCTGTCAGCAATTTAAAAGGTGTTTGTTTCTTCTTCCTGACCCATGACTTCCAAGGATAGCACTCATTATTCTGTGACAGTGGATTGTTTACATCTGGTAAGCGAAAAAGATTGAGTTTCACACTGAAAATTAGAATGAAAAACAAGAGTTGTATATTAGGGTTTTCAGTATACTACTACCAGAATAAATCTGTTACGGTAAAATGGCTTAAGAGGAACGACGTTACACATCTTTTTGTGTAGGATACACAGCTCAGGGTTTTACTGGGCGCAGATTATCTGAGATTCTGACAGAAGTAAGCAGCAGTGGGCTGGGCGTGACGATTTGTTGGAAGATAAAAATGCTAATGATAAATAAATCCCATGTGCCATGATACCACCAGATAAATCTAAGTATGACGAGGAGAAAGAAGAGATGAGATTAAATCCAGAATTATAAATCAGTCCTGCACTAGCCCGAGAGGCTCTATGGCTTAATATATTGAAGAACATATTAAATGATGTCATAATAAAGCAGGAGAATGGCTGTACCGAGGAAAGTCATACTTCTAAGCAACTCACAGTTATCTATTGTATTAAATACATGCGGCATGTGTTTATTTAGACTCTTAAGTTGTGACATGTATGTGTTACCTTGGTTTCTTGTTCTGACTTTCCCTTGATTTTATCTGAAGACAGGTGAGAACTAACAGGAGATGGGAGAGAAAGTCACAGATAAGGTCTGCTTAGTGCACATTGCAGGTTAGAGGCAGCTGCAGGCCACCTTCCACGTGAGCGAGGAGGCAGAAACACAGCTAGGCTCCCTGATGATGTGGTATGCACCCTGTCGGGGAACAGTGGGAACCACGGGCCTTTGCGTCTTTTTATTTGTTGCTCACAATTTAAAATCTTTATCTTCCCATGGGCTTTTCACTGTGCTTCCACACTGGCTTTTCAGGAGGTACCCACCAGCAGGAGGAAGGCTACCCCAAAGGAATTTCCTGAATGCCCAAAGCACCTTAGTCACTATCTGAAAAAGTCTTTCCAAGTTTGAGGAAACTTCTATCGGGAGGGTAGTGCAAACTCTTCGCATTTGCATAAATTACTGTTGAGCTGGCTCACAACAAAAGATAGGCATGAACGGGGAGTACTGGAGACCTGATGAGGGGCCACTGGCATGTCCCTGTCCCCGAACAGACCAAAGGGTTGTTTGTGATGCTGAGTGTTGGGGGTTTGGCCAGTTATTTTTCACCTGGGAGATTTCTAGATTTTTAATCTTTAAATGAAAGAATACGAAAAGGAGACAGGTTTCCTGATGCCTGTTAGTCTTCCTGTTTGCCAGGAGTTTTATTCCTAAGCCTGCTTACTTCCAGTTATCCACCGAGGAAAGATAGGACTGGATTTCTTTCTTTCTCCTTTCTCTCTCCCTCCCCCTCTCTTTCCCTCCCCTCCACTCTCTCTGCCCCTTTCTTTTCTTTTAGAGGAGTAAAACTGAACTTTATTAATATCTAAACTTTGAGCCCATTTATCTCCACGGTCATCCTGAGTGGCTGAGACCTTAGGCCTTTTTGGAAGGGAATGGGAAGGCCATCATGCTCGGTTGCTTCAGTGAACTGAGGTCTGTTCTCTGGGTGGCTGCCTGTACTCGACCTATTGACATCTGCCTGGGCCTTCTCCACCCTCTCCTCTCTTTTCTCTTACCCCTATTCTATCCCTGCCCCCAGAACCCCGCCCCCCCCCACCGCCCGGCTTCTCTCCAACTGAATGCTGTCTAGATTCCAGAATCCAGGTGGGTTCTCCTGCCTGTGTCCTGGAGTTGTGGGTGATCCCCGCGAGGTATGAGAAGATGAAACACAAGAATGGCCCACAGGCTTATGTCCTTTCCCGTCTTTTCACTCATTTCTTCCCTAACCCCGTCTGCTGTCACAGGGGGCCCTCTAAGGTGGCCCAAACTTTCCAAGGGAACACCTGCTGTGGCTCCAAATGACACCCTATAGAACCTGATGCATCTTCTCTATACTCTTTCCCTTGCAGGGAACGTGACGGGAAACAGCAATTCCACGTTCATCTCTAGCGGGCAGGTGATGAACTTCAAGGGCGACATCATCGTGGTGTACGTCAGCCAGACCTCGCAGGAGGGCCCGGGCCCTGCGGAGCCGGAGCCGGAGCCGGAGCCCATGGGCCGCCCGGTGCAGGAGGAGACGCTGACGCGCAGAGACTCCTTCGCGGGCACAGCTCCGCGCTTCCCCGACACGCGTGCCACCGGGGCCGGGCTCCAGGAACAGGGCACATTCGGGACCAAGGAAGGGACATCGCAGCCCGTGCAGGAGCAGGGCGGGGCGCAGGGCTCACGCCGTACCCTGGGCTCTGGACAATGTGCAGAATGACCCCTGAATCCTCTGCCTGCCCTGGGCACAGAGCACCAGGGCTTTCACTAAACAGATGTGTCCTGGCTATCACTGCACACCTCCTCGCAGCGGCCGACTGCTGGTGTGGTGGTGAAGCCCCTCACTTCCCGTGCCTCTCCTCTGCTTTCCACCACCTGGTGTCATTCAGTTTGGCTTTTTTTTTTTTTTTTGGCAACGTTGGTGTCCTACCTTATTGAGGTCTGTACCCCACCCTAGTATTTATATTTCACTTGCTTTTGTAGTGTGCTTCTTGATGCTGTCTCTTCTTTCTGTCTCGACTATTTAAGGGTTTTTGTTTTGTTTTTTATTTTATTTTATTTTTGACAATTCTGAAGGTGCTGTCTCCTTTACATTATTTTGCACTCCATCCTCCAGCAGTCTGGCACGGGCTTCTGCCAGTGTCCTCCAAGCACTTTTGGGAATAGGCCAGATTGTAAAGCTGGGGTCTGAAGTGCAAGAAATGAGTAGAGGGATTCTTCTTTTCTGGAAATATTCTGTGTCTCAAGTTTTTTTCTCAAAAGAAGGGAGAACCTGCCCCGCCCCCCCCAACAACAACAAGCAAGCTTGTCAGATTGCATAGATAGATCCTTGAGAACTAAGTTCAGGGTGTGTGGCCTTGTTTTGTACCTGTTTTGTTTTGTTTGTTTCTTGTTTTGTTTTCTTTTGCCACAGTGACAGGTACTTGGCCACTAATCTCAAAGAAAAAAAATCTAGCCTTTGTGGTTTGGCATTCTTAATTTTATATGATTTAAATGCTGTCTAGAAAAGGTGGAAAGGGTGAATAGAACATGGGACCAAAGGAAAAAAAAGAAGGTACCAGGGAAATTCAAGAAAGAATGTTGCTGGGCGGTGGTGGCGCACACCTTTAATCCCAGCACTCGGGAAGCAGAGGCAGGTGGATCTCTGTGAGTTTGAGGCCTGCCTGGTCTACAGGAGCTAGTTCCAGGATAGACACCAAAGCTACAGAAAAACTCTGTCTGGGGGGGGGGAGAAAGCCCCCACCCCAAAAAAAGAAGAAAAGAAAGAATGAATAAAATTGACGTGCTGATTTGCGTAATCTCTTTCTACAGAAGGATGTTAGAAATGTGTTTAGGCAGTAGGCCCTCTTTTCTTCCACAGTATTTGTGCATGAGTTATTCAGTTTTATGGAAGTAAAAAAAGCCCACTGTGTGTGTGTGTGTGTGTGTGTGTGTGTGTGTGTGTGTGGTGTTTGTGTGTCGCTTGCGCATTTAAGTTACAGACCAGGAGATCTAGAGAGTTGATTTGCCGTTAAGAAGGCTGAGAGCCTCAGTTCAGTACCCAACCCTCCTGGGCAGCTCACAGCTACTGTAACTCCAGCTCCAGGCCTCCACAGGCAACTGCACATATGTGCATATAAAAACTCAAATTTCCATGACACGACCGTAAGAAAATTAATTATCCTACAGTGATTTTCTTTTGGCGTGGCCCTTTTGCAATGAAGCAGTTAAGACTGAACGTGGCCACTGGATGGGTTTACCACGAGAGCTGGTTCTCAGATACTCCAGAAGGGCTAAGGCAAGCACTTAAGCAGACTGCACGCAGCTTTGTAATCCGATAGGTTGTGGGCCTGTTAATGACAGTCACCGTACAGCCACGGATACCCAGCTGAACAGAAGGCCCATCTGTCGCCGGCTTCCCCGGAGATCACAGCAGTTGATTGTGATTTGAATGCGGAAGCAGAGAATGGCTCTGTAACTTGTGGGCTCTTTCTCCGGGAAATAAGTGCCGGGCTGGGATGTGCAGTGATCGAATTCTGTTAATCTCCTCTGAAGAGAGATGCGACTCAATTCAACAAAACCATCATACCTTTTAGTGAGGAATGTATTAAATAAACCCCACAAAGTGGGGTGCAGAGCTAAACACCCACCTCCACTGTCACCATCTCTCTGAACCAACTTCACCTTTGTATTTCCGTTCTTCCCTGTACAAAGCCAATAATGATAACTTAACATCATTTTCCTCCCCAGAGATATCAACAGGATGCTTCAGTGAAGTTAAAGTACCTTGAACTCCTAAAATCAAAGTACTAAGGGCATTAAGAATCTACTTTGTGGCCGGTGGGGGGGAGATATGGTTCCCCACACAGTGGTCCCCACTAATGTTGTTATATTGGTTCAAAGCCAACCGAATGACAGGAAATACATGACGAAGACAGATATATGCATGTGTGTAGTCAAATGTTTGTGACAAGTATAAACAATATAATGAAAAATGTTTCAATGACCTGGTAAAGAGACTATTAAACCTTTATTTGTCCATAAAAGATAACTTTTCATGTCTTGCTAAAACAAAACTCATTACAAAAATTAGGATTCAGCCAGGCGTGACGGCACACTCCTTCAGTCCCAACACTAGGAAGGCAGAAGCAGGCAGATCTCTGAGTTCAAGGCCATTGTGGTCTGGTGTTGTTCCTCAGGGTGCTGTCCATTTTATGACTTGAGACAGGGGTTCTCACCGACCTGGAGCTAGCTGTTTCTGCCAGGCTGGCTAGTGGGTCAGTGAGCCCCAGAAAGCCGCTCTCCGGCACTGAGATTACAAGCCCAAGAACTGCCTATGTCTGGCTTGTTGCAGGTGTCTGAAAGGGAGAGCTCAGGTTCTCTTGTATGTACCAACTGTCTCCCCAGTTTTACACCAGCTCTTTGTGACATGCTTGGCCACAAGGTGAACTTGGGCAGAGGTCTGTCTTCAGTGGAAGAACTGTGGTGTTGAAATGTTTGTTCTTTGGTGGTCTGACGGCATGCGTCCCCCACTCCACTGTCCACTGGTGGAGTCGCGATGGGGAGCACTGCACATGAGGTGTATAACTTGCCCTGCAGTTGGGGATGAAGAACCACTTTATATAGGAAACTTTTAATGTTTGGGCCCTGAGTGACCAGAGAAAGAAGATCCAGAGAGCTGGAGAGCCAGGACCTCAGGAGGACAGACTGTCAAAGAAGGCTGTCTGTGGACTTCCTGAGCCCCAGGGCAGTGATGATGAACAGGCTACCTCCCACTGCTAGTGTCTTACCAGAAAAGAGGAGGACTTACTTGACACTGGGTGATGGAGTGTCCAGGGGCAGGCTCAGCAAGAGTCTAGCTGGCATCGGTGAAGCTGAGCTCAGAAAGTTCTGGAATCCTTGATAACAGACATATAGAAGCCACACCAAGTAATTGCTTTTCCAGATCCCTAAGGTGACAGGGTCACATGCATGACCTGAGTGTCTATTGACACCCGTCAACATGCCTGCCTATGGTTTCGCTGAGCCTGGCTCGCTCTCTCTATCTCCTTCCTACAGTTATTTGGGGTCGTTTTTGGCCAACAGTACATTTCAATTCCTCTTAATAAATTTAACGATCAGAAATGCTTCTCAAGGTAAAGGAAATGAAAATTTAAAAAAGCTTCAACAAGATTATCTACAGCAAGAAGGTAAAATCACCTATGCTGTAACTTGTAGCTCCATTCTGGCCGAAGAGCTGCTAACACGACCCTTTGTCTATGTGATGAAATACAGACAGGCATTTCCAGTCAGGCCTCACTGAAGGCTCATCTCATGCAGGTGCCTCACCTTCTGTCTGTGTTGGGAGAAGACAGTGGTCCAGCAGGTGTGGGGAGAACCCCAGGTGAAGTGCAGCCCCATCGAACCCAAGTTCTCACAGCACTTTCTCTCGCTGTCCCTCCGATGCCTGTCCCCTCCTAGAATCAGAACCATGTCATACTTTGTTCTGTCTTCCTGAGTCAGACCACATATCTGGGACGAGCTCTGCCACCCACCACAGACACCTAGCCATTTCTGAAACTGGGACAGAGGGACACAGCTTTCCACAAACAGTTGACAGGACTATGCCACCTAACCCAACTGCTGTCCCCTGCTGCTGACATGTAGAGTCTATCTAACTTCACATCATCTTGTGCTGAGAGCCAACAGCTAAAATGGGCCCTGTTGGTCTTTCTGTCATAACCAAAGACCTGCAAGGAGAGTGAATACCCACATGTGGTTGAAGGACTGCGTTGTTTTCATCTAAGGTGTCTCTCCAAGTTCAGGAAGAGTAATAAAGTGGCCATCAGCTCAGAAGAGGTTATAGTAGAGGACCAAACCACTGTGAGAGGGGATTGGAGTCCAGTAGAAACTTTCAGTGTGTCTCGGGATTCTGGATAAAATGTCTACCTTGCATGCATGAGTTCCATCCCCAGAACCCAGGTAGAATAAAGCCAGGAGGGGGCTCTTGTAATCATACTGAGAGAACTGGGGAGACAAGACAGGCCAAACCCTGTACCATTGGTCAGCTAGCATAGTCTGCCCAGTAAGCTCAGACTTCAAATGAAAGATCTGGCCTCAAAAAGGTAGATAGCCCCTGAAGAATGGCACCCAAGACATCCTCTTACACACACACACACACACACACACACACACACACACACACACCTGTCACTGTACTCAAGCTCTTGGTCTCCCAGGAGCGAGGAGGCAGAATGTGAAGGCTCTGTGAACGCTGAAGTCCCCAGAGAACCCACATTCTCACGCTGAGGCTCTTGAAGGCCACCTTTAGGGCAGAGGAACGACACGGATTTATTGTCACTGATTTTAATGATCTATTTCAATGGCTAAGAAGTTGTGAAAATTTATATTTGAGGCTTTTATTTACTACATCTGTGGACAAATAAACATTGTTAGCATCAACTCCCTATAGAGTTTATTAAATGAAGAGGAAGCTCAGCCTTTTGGATTACAGTTTTCTGAGTTCTGACGCAACGTAGCAGTGTGCTTAGCAGCATCACAAACAAGACACAGGACGGTCCTGCACCCCTGCACCCTTTTCCCTTGAGTGAGGAGATCCTCCCCCCCACCGCCACCCCATGCCACAGCCCTCTGATTTCTGTTCCTGCATTCTTCTATGATTGGGAGAATTGGGAGCCACTGAGTTGGACTTCTTCCAGAGGAGTGCCGCTGCAGTCCATGGGTCCATCCGAGCTGTTGGGCACAGCTTAGTCCGCTTCTCTTCTCTGATATAACAAGCTTTCATAGAGTTAGCCTGTTACAGAGTTGTACTCACTGACATGTAAAGTTCTTTTCTGTTGGAGACAATTACCAATTATTGTCTATCTCTAAAAGCTGTTGTGGACATGGAATGGGATCTCATGTCTCTTGGGAAAGCATTGGGAGTGAGATGGTAAAGTCATTATATTCTACCTTATAAGAAACCTCAGACTGTTTTCCAAAGTGCTACAGGATTTGGCGTTCCCATCAGCAACGGTGATAGGCTGGGCTGCTCCACATCCTTAGCACTTACATCGTCAGCCCTTTGGGTGTTTGTTTTCATATTAGCCATTCTATGGCATGTAGTATCTGAGCATGCTCCAACTTGCAGG